ACGAAAACGCCAAAAAAAGGTGCGATTTTCGTTAAATCGCCGAGTTTCAATTGCCTAATACATTGAAATTCTGTGAGCAATAATATGGCTTTAAACTTTTAAATAAATCTTTATAGATGCTGCAATAACAATCGATTAATTAATCGAATTCAAATCTTTACACTTATCGATAACTTATAGTAGAAAATTATGCAAAAGGCAGAAATGATTTGCTAACTGGCCATGGAAACATTTGAAAACCTTTAAAAAGCAAAAGTTCCTCAAAGCAAATCAGAATTAAAACATTTATTTATCGATAATAAATAGCAGGAAATTTCGAGTACAGCTAAAAAGGCAGAAGTTATCGGAAATGGAAACATTTGAAAGCCTATTGAAAAGATTTAAGCATCTGTAAAGAAGAGTTCCTCAAACCAAATTGAAATTGAAACAATAGCTGATCGATAACAAATAGTACGAAAGCGCAAAAGTAATCGGAAATGGAAACATTTGAAAGACCTTAAATACTGAAATGATATAATCAAATCAAATTGGTATTGAAATCTATATTCAACGATAATAATTATTAAAAATTTCGGAAATGGCTGAAATTGCAAAGGCGACCGATAATAGAAACATTGTGAGTCTTCGGGAAACACACATTTATCGATAACTATAAATAACTGTAGAAGATTTCGCACATGGCTTAAATTGCAAAAAGAACTCAAAATTGGAACATATGAAATTTCTTAAAATAAAGAGAAGTTTCCCGAAGCAAATTGAAATTAAAACGAGAGGCTATCGATAACAAGGAGTAGAAAATTTCCGATAAGCCTGAAATTTGAAAGGTAAATGAAAATGGGAACATTTGAAAGCCTTTAAAAGAGCCAACTTAAATGATGTAAGAGCGTGAAGGGAGAGGGCGAGAGAGGGAGAGCAAGAGTGTAAACAGTGGCAGTTGCTTGAATGCAGTTGCAATTGGCGCAGCAACAAATTGCTGGAATAATTACGCACACATTGACAGCTACAGATTGATATGTTTGTCGGCAAGGACAACATGAAGGACCATTGGACCAACTGACTGACTGACTGACTGCCTGCATGACTGACTGCCTGACTGACTGAGCGAGCGAGCGAATGAGTGAGAGATCTGGTCTGGTCTGGTCTGGGGTACAAGTGACATGCCACGCGGCTACTTCTGTTGCCCATTGATGAACGTGAGGTGTCAAGCAAATTGACTGCCCAGCTAAGCGACGCGTCCAGCGGCGTCCCAGGCAGCAAAGCGATCCAAAGGGGGGGGCGTAATCGAGTTTCCAAATGCAGTTAAACAGTTGGTTTTTATTACCTCAGCGATTGTCAGCTCGATTTTTTGTTATCGATACATTTGTTTTATCTTCAAATTGTTATTTTTTGCAACACTTCACTTGTGAATAGAAATTTGTAATTAATTTGCAAGCCATCGTGATTGGCATTAGGATAATCGACTTAATCAAAAAACTCATCGACCTAATCAAATCGATAAATCGCAGAAGCCTAATAGCTTGGTATTCAAGTGTTTAGACTTTCAAATGCATATTCCAAGCTAATTATTTTCTCAAATTCTCGAATAGGTTTTAAAATATCGAACAGTTGGATATGGACAAATTTGGGATAATATAAATTGGAATATAAATTGCCTGTTTCTGCAGAAGCTGGTCAAGATTTGGTTATTGGCTCGCATTTGATTTATCTTCTTAAGACTTGTCTGCACCAAGTGATCCCCCTGGAGCGACGCCTCTGCCTGCTGCTGGCATCTGCAGCGTCGCAGCATCGGAATTCGCTGTTTACGTGAATTACGCTCAAATTACAAGACGCCGCGAATCGAGAAAAACAAGATGAGAAAAAAAAGAGAAGAAAACTGTCAGAGTCGCAGAGCCTGAAAATAGCTGCGCAGCAATGGGAATGCATTGCAAATTAAAATTGCTAGCAAAACGCTTCGCGATGAGCTCAAGAGTGGAGAGGGGGGGGGGGGCGCAACTGCGACAGGGTGCACTGGGCGCGCACAGGGCGACACACGCGAGCTGTAGGGCTGTTGTCGCTGTTGCGCTCATTGAGCTCGTTAGGCGATAACTTTATGCGGCATTAAATTTTATGCGGCCATAAAACAAACAAATTCGCCTCGTACACGCTCATTCACAACACACACACACACACACAGCATTACGGCGACTGAGCACGACATGAGACAACACACAGGAACAAGAACAGCAACAACAACAACAAATAAACAACAAGAGCTACAAAAACAATTACATGCAACAACAATAACAATAACAATACCAATGGACTTGCGCGTGGAATGCATGGTTAAAAGTAACAGGCGCCCGAGCAGGGATCCGGGATCAGGGATCACTGGCCGTACCGGCTGCAGTAGCCCTACCGGTAGCCCTCATTGTGTGTCTGCGTGCCTCCGTGTGTGTGTGTGTGCGGTATGCGTGGCGTATCGTTAAGTGGAACAAGAACATGTCGCTTTACGCCCCGATACAACTCAACTTGTGGCTTTGTATATATTGTACCCAACCATATATGGGCCGTACCCGAATGCCTGGTCGCAGTGCTGAGCTTAAGTCTTGGACAGCAAGTGCTGAAATGCCATTAAAATCATGGGCACAAGCAGATATCACACCTGAGTCATAATGCCAAGCCAAAAAACCTTAAGTTATCTTAAACATAGTGTAGGGTAGCTTAATGGACGCCCTCAAGGTGTGCACACCCTAAACTGCATAAGGAATAGAATGTGAGCGTTGGGTGGTTGAGTCGGAGGGTGACGCTACTTCAAACTGGATGTTTTCTAATCACGTGTCAAATCTGTACATCATTTTGATGGTAACTTAAAACCAAAGTTCAAATTCGAGTACGGCCAGAGGGTAGACAATCGCAATCGGCATCGCAGATGAACGGAGGTTGACGGGAGAGAGGCTGCTGGGTCTGCAGGGTCGGCAGGGGCTGTGCCTTGAGGTATTGAGCAAAGTCAGCGAGCCCGATGTAAACTGATTAACAAGCCCGATAAGCGGAATGCCTCAAACAATTGCCGTGCACTCGCATTTGCCACTTTTTCTGACGCAGCCTCAATGGCCACAATGGACCATTGTTAGACCTTTGTTCCGGTACCCCTCTCTCTCTCTCTCTCTCTCTCTTTCCGTAGCTCGCCCTCTCGTGTTGCTTTGTTCGGATCGTACGGGCGGGGCGTTGCTGTTGTTATTGCCACAGCTGTTCTAATAAATAGCATAATGCATTGAACAGCTTAACAATAGAGCAGAAATACTTAAGACATCGGCGAATATGTTCTATCGTAACTTGGCAACTATTTGAATGTAAATAGCCAAGATTCGCTCAAAGCGGAATATCTAAGTTATCGGGTTCTCATGCTTGTGTCTCTTGTGGCTTAAAATATCCCTTTCTTGCCTCACACACTTTTAGCTTGATCATAAGTCGAGTTCTATTGGAATTGTCTGCAATTTAGGCATACAGCTAACAGAGTTATCGTAACGAGGGATCCATTTCGGTCTTCAATCTGAAGATTCGTTTTATTAATTAAAAAATTCAGCTTGAGATCTGTCAAGGATTTCGATGTCTACTGAAGAGAGAGAGAGAGAGAGGGAGAGAGAGAGAGGAGGGGGGCGGGAGAGAATAATTAACTGTATCCCCACATAAGCACTCAACAGCAAACCCTCGTCTCGGAGTGTGTATAAACAAAATTAAACAAGTTGCATGCACCTGCGGCTCACAACGGGAGCAGCGCTCGGGCAATTGAGCCAAGCATCTAAGAAATGATGTGGCAAGTTAATTTCCGAATGCCCCATAACAATAGATTAATGGCCATACAATTCACAATGTTGTCGAGCTGTTGTGCTGTTGTGCTGTCGTGCTGTCGTGAGCGTGAACCGTGGCCTAATGCTACTGCAGTCTGGGCGTGGCAGCTATAGAAAAGTCGAGGGTACCCAGGTCCAGGTAAGAGCGGCGTCTACGGGCTGCCCCCTAGAGGGCTGGCCCATTAATGAGCGCGACAAACTAACGACATTTGTGGCTTCTCGAACGATGATTTATGCGGCTGTTCATTAGCTTCATTAAAAGTGAAAGGATGAACTGAAGATCGGACGGACGGACCGACAGACGGACGGACGATCGAACTGTTCGAACTTTACATGCGTCAGGTGGTTTTTTTTTTTTTTTTTTGTCATGTCTCATGTTCGGACTGTTTATTTGTTTTGTGCCTTCTCCAAATGAGCCGTAACCAATAAATGTTTATGACCCTGCGGGCAGCGGAGGCGGGCCGGAAGACAACCGTGACAACGCCCCTGGTTTAGGCCGCAGCCCAAAACTTAAAGAGAGAGAGAGAGAACAGGCGAATGTCCACAATAAAAATCATTTTGAACAACATTAAAATGACACATTGTTTTTGTTGCGGGCCACAAAACTCCAACTAGCCATATTTACCAACTTCAGTTCCAGTTCCATTTCGACTTCCACTTCCATTTCCATTTCCATTTGCAGAGATCATCGCGTGGATCCAGGCGCCAGTCGCTTATCAATGGATAACGGCGGGTCATCAGGGCGGACGACCCGCTGCGTTTGAAGACAAACAGAGGAGGCAACAACAGCAACAACAGCAACATGCACAATGAGTACAAGAGTTGAGTTGACAAAAGGCCAACCGAATCTTGGGAACAGGCATCACCGAATTGCGAATGCCTCACATTAAAAGCCAAGGCGAATTCCATTAGACGAACCTAAGGAAGCATATGCTTAGACTGAGCTATTGATAAGGTCTGTTACTGATCAAGAATATATATATATATCTAAGAGTAAGGATCTCCTAGTGTCATCCGCTGTGAGTTGACAAAAGGCCAACTGAATCTTGGGAACAGGTAACACCGAATTAGAAATACCCTACATAAAAAAGCCAAGTCGATTTTCATTAGTCATTGATCAGATCTGTTACCCATCAGGAATATATATCGGATACATCCTATTAATACAAACGCTTATTCTCATTATTTTTATATATATCTGCTTACATACACAATACAACAAATTTTGATACACTTAATCGAATTCCAGTGTCGACATATTACAAGGTAATCACTCTGTAAAGAGGAAATCCTTGCGATTAATATATAATATAATATCCGGTTGAACTTACCTCCATAATCTGAGATTTTGCCACATCCCTATCAAGCGACCTAACCTAGCCTAGACCTATCCAAGCTACGGCGGAGACTGGAAGCACGAGTTTACAGGGTATATCGAATAGATTAGTCCAGCAAACTTACGTTTAAGAAGAAGCATAACTTTTATGCGGCCATCACAAATGTGACTTGAACACCTCAAATTTTCGTATATCTGTTTAATTTTTGTGTTTTACACTCTTTCCAAAAATATTAACGATGTGTTTTGTGCATAAGAAAAGCATTGAAGAATTTTCATTTTAGATTTCCAATGAAAATCTGGTTGAAGGGAAACAAATCGGCTCGGGCTACTGCGTTAGGCTAAATTGGGGTTATTTTGGATTAGCTCATGGAATAGCTATGCTCATGGTATTTGTAAGACAAGGAAGTCATCTTGAGCTACTTAAAGTCTAGGGTAATATAATTGGGAAGAATAATTGATGTCAACAGAGAAGCACAGTTGTCTTTAAAGCAAGATATATTCTAAGAAAAACGAATGTAAGTCTTTGACTAAGTCAAACTCGTAGCTGCTGAGCCCCAACAAGAATGCATTCAAAAGTATTAGCAATAATCAGGCAATCGTTTCTATGCTATATGCTATATGATCTGGGGACTCAATCCAGCCGACCTAAACTAGCTAATTCTTTTAAATGCCATGGAGAGAGGCTCAAAGAGAGAGAGAGAGAGAAACAACTGAGACCTGCTCATATACAGTTTGCAATTCTTCCGAGATACGTGGATACATTGGAAAGAATTTAAGGACTAGCCGACCTTTGGGCAGAGTTTTGGGCGAATAGTCCAACAGCTACCAGGCCAGAGTTGTCCACAGTTCAGCCTGACCCAGATGTATCATTTCGACTTATCTGAGGACCAGTTGGATGAGTTTTTATTTTTTGTCAGGCTAAACAGCTTGGCCCGCACAAACGACAAGTGCATAAATCATATGCTCATCGAAAACCCAACAAAAAATGTCGGTGACAGTTTGTTTCTTCTTTTTTTTTTTTTGTTCCTTATCGGATGCACTCGATCAAGCGAGCGATTGCCAACTGGTGCAGGTAAATGAATTCAGCTGCTCTGACGTCACAGAAACCTGCCTGATGGCATTTTAATTATTGCGACTGAATGATGATAAAGCGCGCAGCGTTTATCAGAGCAAACAACAAGCAACAGTTCCAGAGCTGTTCTCTGGTTGTCTGATACCACGCACAAATCCGATATACAGGGTATCATTGGGTAAGAAGTAAGACTACAGACTCTACTTTTGGTATATAACTTTTCCTATTTATATGTCTACTTTAGATTTAGTGAGATCAATCTAATCACAATCTACTCATAATAAATATAAAAGTTATTATAAAGAAGTTTTTTTAGAGCTCATAGCTGAATCGTGCGTAGACAATTGTTATGTCTCAAAGGAATAAATATCACTTAAAATATATATGATATTTAAAGCTGGATATAAGAATTGGTTTCAAGTCTCTTGAAAGATCAAGTCTACGAGATTAGGACTAAGGCAACTAACTGTCCAGGATCCTAGCATATTTGGGCTTAAAGGAACATTGTTACTCTATGCAGGGTATTTGCCAGCATGCCAGCTTTTGTAAGCTAGATCCGTTTGAGCTGTGATTTTGTTGTTGTTCGTCGTTGTATTCATTTTTTGCAAATAGCTGCAAGGCGTGAAATTTGTACGTTGCGGTGGGTCTCTGGCCACCGAGTGGGACGGCAGGTGAATAAACTGCGCTGCAACTGTCCGCCCTTTCTTAAAAAACACTTTGTGCATGCTATAATTATGTTGGGCTCGCTATTTGTTTAACTCTGGCTTCCCCGGATCGCACAGTGGGTCAAAGCACAAGCAAGCGATGTCAAATCGCTTGCACAAGAAATTGAAGGGCCGCAATTTATATGGGCCCTGGCATAATGTGAGAGGTCAGCTGTTGAAGAAAATAATCAAAAAACAGTAGCTACTGTTGTTTGTTGTGCGACTTGGTACCACTGTGCCTGAGCACTTGTGGGTACGTATCGTGCGGCCCGCACGCACATTTCACTTATTATTTATGAGGCGTGCGCTGTGGGCGTGGCACGCTTGTTGATCGGCGCTACATGAGCGTACCCCAACAGGCCCCTGGCGCAGCAGCTTGAACGATGCCGGACAATGCCGGACGGAACGGGACGTTTTCAATCAACGTTCAACCGGCCGCTTGGCCTGCCAGGCGAAGACAAGCGGGGACCACCCTTTTAATGAAGCCCTAATTACAGTGTTTATAACAAAAGGTGATTACCAAAGCAAACCAACAACACCAGAGACCAGACACCAAGCAACCAAGCAACCAAGCAACCAAACCAGGCAGCCAGCCAAACGGCCAAACAGCCAACCAGTCAACATCCACAGGCAGGCAGGCAGGCAGGCAGGCAGGCAGGAAGGCAGGCCCCGGAACGCATCAACAGCTCTTTAGGACAAACCAGCGACTGACGTCGCAACCCGCTCGATAAACCGCCGTACCCGCCGTACCCGCCGTACCTATCGTACCCGCCGAGCCGCTGTCTCCCAAACATTGAACGTCAGCCGCCTTGGGGCAATCGCCTTGTTTATTTCAGATCGCAGCACGAAAGACGCAGAACACAAACTCAGGCTTTGTCAGCGGTCAGCGGTATCTTAGGCTCTCAGCCTTTTTGCAGACGCTGTGCATTGACTCGCCCCCCAAATACCCTGTAATTAACACTTAGAGTGAGTAGGAGCGACAAGTATCGATACCTGCATGTGACAACTGAAAGGAAATCGGCAAAGTTGCCAGATATCGATAATACATTTACTATCGATAACATCAAAGCTATCGATAGTGGCTACAGTGTATGCAGGAACAACTTTGTCAAGAATTAATTAGAAAAACATACGTACCAATATTAACCCAACTCTCGATATTATCTAAACCATCAATAGCATCTAAATGAAGCTAGCATCTTTGAGAAAATACTATTCAAATATCGATACTATCGTTAATACTTTACAACCAAGTACTTCTATTTTATTTCGCCACTCGCTGTTCTTGCGATTTGATAAAAATCCATTAAAGAAATAATATATAATATTATGAAATATGTATAAAATTAATTTACGCGGTATCTGCAATTCATGCACACCCAATTACTGTATGTGCGTGTGTGCGTGTTGTCTCCGTCTCTGTCATCGTCACATTATTTATAACTTTTCATGTTTAAATTCGTAATTTTGGCCTCGTTTGCCCCACCCACCTCTCCTCTCGCACCGCACCACCCGTCGCCCCCGTCGCACCCGTCGCACCCGTCCCCTGCCTAGGTGCCTCAGCCACCCAGGCTTCGTCAAGAGGCCTTCCCATGGCGCTCGTGACTTGTAAATATTGATTTTAATCGAAATTGCCCCAAATTGCTTTGTTTTTTCCATGTGTTTCGGGTACGCAATTTAAGACACTTTTGCTGTGAAGAGGCGCTCCATGCGATCACAGCCAACTACGATCGTTCATCATAAATGCATATGTACTTATATAGATCAATCTTCTCTCCCCCCCCCCCCCCCCCTCTCTCTCTATCGATCAGTTGCTAAGGTGCTAGAATATTTGTGCATACTTATTTAATTACAGCTCTACTGATCGTTGAGAGATGTTCACAGAAAGCCATGGATTCCTACTTTACGATCAATACAGTAGTTATTCGATTTAATTGACCAAAAGGGTATCTTTAAAGAATTAGTATACATATATTAGACTAGATCATTGATCACAGTGATAGCTTCCCAAGAACTCAAAGTATCCAGTTGACTTGGGCATCCGAGTCTTAAAACTACAAACTCTATAGAAATCGAATGAAAGCCACGTATTGAGAATGTGATCAGATATTCCAGATCCAGATTAATGTAAAGTAAACAAGAGCGTGTGCGATCAGTAGTGATCAGCATCAGCTCTTGAAAGTCTAATGAAGATCCGTAAACATGAAAATAGTTACTGATCAGTGAAAGCAATCAGATGCTCTAGATCCTTATGTGAACTGCATAGTTTGATCTGAACTAAACTAGGTTGCGGGTGATCAGTAGTGATCATCATCACCTCTTTAAAGGCTAATGAAGATCACCAATTATGAAAATAGTTACTGATCAGTACGAATAATCAGATATTCTAGATGGTTGATCAGAAGTGATCAGTAGTTACCAGTTGTTAATGAAGATCATTAATTACTAGAATATTTGGTGATCAGGGAAAGCAATCCAATGCTCTAGATCCTTAAGCAAGTTGTATAGTTTCACCTGAACTATGCTAGGGTGTGGATGATCAGTAGTGATCATCATCAGCTCTTGAAAACCTACTGAAGATCACCAATTATGAAAATAGTTGATGATCACTGAAAGTAATCAGATGCTATAGATTATCAGGCGAATGGTTGAATAGATTGCCGGTGATCAGAAGTGATCAGTAGTAGTAGAACAGTTAGTGATCACTACAACTAATCAGATGCTATAGATTATCGTGCGACTGGTGCTGTTTGATCTGCACTAAACTAGAGAGTGATCGATCAGTAGTGATCATTATTTGAACTGATCACTAATATAACACAGATCCTAATAGCGAATCCGACGGCGATTTCTACAACTACTGGGGGCGTACTCGTTTCATCCTGAGTATGATCAGCATGACCAGCATGATCATCATGATCAGTGGCGCTCTCTCGCTCGCACTTGCTGCCAGTTGGCCAGTTGGCCAATTGGCCGAGTAAAACATCAATTGGATTGTAAGGACCGAAAAGACTTGAAAGGCAGAGCCGACCGATGCCGGCAACGCCGTCCGAGCAACTTATCATGTCCAAATTAAGCTCAATACCAAATAAACAAGTCGTACGACTGCGTTTTTTTTCTTCACTTCACGTTTTTTTTTTTTATTGTTTTTTTTTTATCCTTTTCTGGCCGCCGGGAATCCAGCAATGCCTGTGTTGGTTTTTCCTTCTGCTTGTGTGAGTTTATTTTGTTGCTGCTTTGTTTTTCGAATACCCCGGTGCCTCGATAATGCCAACTCTATTTGCATTGGGCGCGGCGAGGCAGAGTCGCCAGCACCGAGTCTTTCCGCGCTGCAGTTGGAGGCGAAGCGGTCTCAGCTTTGCGTTCGCCTTTGTTTGAATTAATCGAAGTGATATTTTGCTTGTCCCGAAATAATTTATCCTATGCAGGGCCGACTGCACCGATATCTGGCTGCAGCTGCAGGCTGGACCAGAATTGGTTTTTTTTTTTTCGCTTTTTTTCTTTGCTGGCGGACCGCGTCGAAAGCCGCGCAGAAATATAAAT